AAGTATAAAACTCAAACAATTCTCATCAAAAGGCAGGAATTTTCTTTTTCCTTAGAAGTACAAGCTATTTATTTCTGTATCAAGAGTAAGGCACACATGTTTTTGTGGGTTTCTGTGGGCTGTGAACAGTAATTTGAATTTAAATTTTATGCAAATACTTGTTTAATGCACATTTCAGTATAAACCAAAATTACTATAGTTTTGTTACTACAAAAAATTTTATATTATACCACTATATAAACTTAGTTGAAAGCTATCTCATTTCTTTTTTATTTATTTAAAATGGACAAATATAAATTATATATATTTATGGTATACAATGTGATATTGTGACATTTTGATATATGTATACATTGTGGAATAATTAAATCAAGCTAATTAACATATGCATCACCTCACATACTTATTTTGTTTTGTCTTTTTTTTTGTAGGAACATTTAAAATCCACATTTTTAGCAATTTTCAAGAGTACATATATTATTAACTCTAGTAATCATGCTGCATAATAGATCTCTTGAACTTCTTTCTGTCTGATTGAAACATGTACCCTTTGACCAACATTTCCCTATATCCCATGCCTCCTTTCCTCAAACCCCATCGCGGTGCTTGCCAATTACCCTTCTACTCTCTGCTTCTGTGGGTTCGACTTTGTTGGATTCCATGAATAAGTGAGGCCATGCATTATTTGTCTTTCTGTGCCTGGATTTTTTCACTTAGCATAATGTCTCCAGGTCCAAACATGTTGTTGAAAATTATATGATTTCCTTTTTCTGTAGGCTGAGTAGTATTCCATTTTCTCTCTCTGTCTCTGTGTGTGTGTGTATGTGTGTGTATGTGTATGTATACACATACATAGAGAGAATATATATACACACACATATACAGAATATATATCATATATTCTTCATCTAGTCATCCGTTGGTGGAAACCTAGGTTAATTCTGTATTTTGGCTATGTGAATAATGCTTCAAGGAATATAAGAGTGCATATATTTCTTCAACATACAAATTTCATATCTTTTGGATTTGTATCTAGAACTGGAATTGCTAGATTATATGGTAGTTCTATTTTTAATTTTCTGAGGAACCTCTATACTGTTTGTCAAAATGACTGTACTAATTGACATTTTGTATTAGTCAGGGTTCTCTAAAGGGACAGAACTAATAGGATAGATGAAGAGGAGTTTATTAAAGAGTATTTACTCACACAAACACAAGGTAAAGTCCCACAATAGGTCTTCTGCAAGCTGAGGAGCCAGGAAGCCAGTATGAGTCCCAAAACATCAAAAGTAGGGAAGTTGAGAGTGCAACCTTCATTCTGTGGCTGAAGGTCCAAGAGCCCCTGGCAAATCACTGGTTTAAGTCCAAGAGTCCAAAAACTGAAGAACTTTGAATCTGATGTTTGAGAGCAGGAATCATCCAGCTTGGGAGAAAGATGAAGGCCAGAAGACTTAGCCAGTCCTTCCACATTCTTCTGCTTTTATTCTACCCGTGCTGGCAGCTGATTAGATTGTGCTCACCCACATTGAGAGTGGTCTGCCTTTCCCAGTCCACTGATTCAAATGTTAATCTCCTTTGGCAACACCATCATAGACACACCCAGGGACAGTAGTTTGCATCCTTCAGTCCAACCAAGTTGACACACAGTATTAACCATCACACATTTCTACCAACAATGTACATGCTTCCCTTTTCTCCACATTTTTATCAATGCTTGTTATCCTTTGTCTTTGTAGTATTAGCCAATGTAACAGTTGTGAAGTGATATCTCATTGTGGCTTTAATTTATATTTCTCTGATAATTAGCAATGGTGAACATTTCTTCATTTGTATGCTTTCTCTTGAGAAATGTCTATTCAGGTCATTTGGCCATATGTTAATTGGGTTGTTTTCTTGATAATGAGTTATTTGAGTTTCTTACATATTTTGGATATTAATCCTTTTTCAGATGTGTGGTTTGCAAATATTTTCTCCCATTTTGTAGCTTGTCTTTTTGTTCTGTTTATTATTTCCTTTTCTTTCCTGTGCAGAAGCTTTTTAGTTTGATGTAATCCCACTTGTCTATTTTGGCTTTTGTTGCTTGTGCTTTTGCAGTAATATCTAAAAATTATTTGCCAAGACTAGTATTAAGAAACATTTCCCCTATGTTTTCTAATAATATTTTAAAGATTTCAGGTCTTATGCTTATGTCTTTCATTCATTTTGAGTTGATTTTATGTTGTAAAATAGAAAAACCAAAATCCAACTATATTCTGACTATGGGAAAATCACTTTAGATTTTATTTTTAGACACAAATATATTGGAAGTAAAGTATGGAAAAGCATATGTCATATAAGTAGTAACCACAAAAGCTTGAGTGGCTATATTAATATCAGAGAAATACATTTTAAAATACATTGTAAAGCAAAAATTATTATTAGAGAAAAACAAACACTTCATAATGTTTAAAGTTTCAACCTATATATGTATATCAAATGCTATAAAAAATATATACAAAATATATATTTCTTCTATGTGTGTTTGTATGTATGTATTTTTTATATTTATTCACACATATATTTATTCTTTAAGGTGCTTTTAATTTCTTACTATGGATTTTAGTTACTATCAATGTCATTTTCTCTCAGCCTGATGACTTCCTTTAATATTTCTTGTAAGACAGGTCTGCTAACCACAAAGTCCTGTAGCCTTGCTTATCTGGGAATGTCTTTATTTCATTTTCATTTATAGAGGATAGTTTTGCTGGATATAGAATTTTGGGTGGAATTTTTTTTCCTTTCAGTGCCTCTCCATTATCTTCTGATCTTCATTGTTTCTGATTTAAAGTCAGAAACAATGACTTCTGATTTAAAGTCAGGTTAATTCTATTGCTCTTCTCTTTCACATGATGAGTCATTTTTCTCTTGTTGAGAAAAAATACTGATTTCAATATATTATTTGCAGAATTTTGACTTTCTGAGGTTTAACTATAATGTATCTAGACATAGATATCTTTGTGTTTACTCTGTTTGAGAGATGTTAAACTTCTAGGTTCTTTTGATTAATGTTTTTTAAAAAATTTGAGAAGTTTGTGGCCATTTTTTTTTTAATCTTTCTCTCATTTCTCTCTTTCTGAGACTCCAATTTTACATATGTGGGTATGCTTGATGGTATCCCACAAATCTCTAAGTTTAGTTACTTTTAGTGCAGAAACCATGTGCCTGTACAGCACTGTGGAGTAAGTCCTGAAGCCTGACTACAGAGTCCCAAAATACATAAAGTAAAAATGACAGAAATGAAACAAAAATAAACATATCAAAATTATAGTTGGTGATTTAAATCCTTCAGTCTGAAAAATTGATTACACCAACTAGACAAAAAGTAAATAAGGGTGAAAGAGACCTGAAAAACACTACTAAACTATTTGACTTAATTGATGATTTTAGAACACTCTATTCACTAACAGCAGAATGTACAGTTTTCAAGTGCTCATAGAGTATTTCCCCATATAGATTATATATTAAATAATAACATACAGGTAAGAGGATTAAAATAACTCAAAGTATATTCTCTCATCACAGAGGGATTTAATTAGAAATAAACAACAGAAAGAAGCTGAAAAAATCACATATATTTGGAAATTAAACATCACACTCCTAAATAACTCATGGGCTTCAGAAGGAATTTCTAGAGTAATTATGCTTTTAACTAAAAAACCAAAACTGTATCAATGTACATGGAATGCAGCCATGATTAAAGGGAAATGTATAGCTTTAAATAACTACATCAGGAAAACAACCACAAAAGTTTCCATCATAATCTAAACTTCTACCTGAAGACACTGGAAAAATAAGAGAAAAGTCAACCAAAAGTAAACATAAGGAAGAAATAATAAAGATCAAATTAAAAATCAATTCAATAGAGAATAGAAAAACGATAGAGAAAATCTTTGGAACTACAACCCGGTTACTTGAAATGCTATAAAATTGATAATGCTTTAGTCATACTGAACAAGATAAAAAGCAAGAAAATCAAAATTGCAACATCAGGAGTGAAAATGAAGAATACAATTACTAACCCTATAGAAATATATGGAAATGTTATGAACAACACTATGTCAATGAATTTGACAGCTTGAATGAAGCAGACATATTCCTAGAAAGACGTAAGAGTAACCTGAGAAAAAAAGAAAGCCACATGTCTGGATAGACATATTACAAGTAAAGAAGTATTTTAGAAAAATAACACCTTACAGAGCAGAGGTCAGCAAAATTTTTCTGTAAGGAGCTAGATAGTAAATGTTTTGGGCCATATGCAACCTCTGTCAGTTCTTTCTCTCCTATTCCTCCTCTTCCATCTTCTAACACTTTAAAAGCATAAAATTTATTCTTAGTTCATGAGTCATACAAATATAGGCCATGGCTTGATTTTAACATGTGAGCAATAGTTTGTGAGTCCATGTCATAGAGAAAAGCTCAGGACTAGCTGACTTTACTGGCAAATTCCATCAAATATTTAAATAATAATACCACTCCTGCAAAAAATAACTTTCACAAAATAAAGAATAAGATTATTCCTAAATTTATCCCAGTTCAGTCCACAATTTCCTAATCCAGCCTAACAGGTCAGAATTACTTTGATACTAAATAAAAAGAAATCACAAGAAAACTACAAACTAGTATGTCTATGGTCTCCATAAAATATTAGCAAACCTCATTTAGCAATATGTGAAAAGATTATATAATTAGCAATATGTGAGAAGATTATGTACTATGACCAAGTGGGATTTATCCCACCAGGTCAAGATGGGCTTGACATCCAAAATCAGAGACTCTGTGACTTTACTTTTGGTAACCTCAAAACAGAGGTTTCACATCTGAGCTCAGCACCCAAGGCCTCACAGCAGTCTATGCTTTTGTGAAATATCAATCAATCTATTCAAGGTCCCAGGGTCTGATCTCATGTGGATGGAGAACACTTCCCTGAGATTCAGCATATCCAAGACAGAAGAATCATCTCTCTGTAGGATAGTCTCCCAATGGTTAGGGTAGCCTCCAAAGAGATTTAGGACTGAATGCAGGGACACTGTTGAAGACTACTCTTTGCTAAGTTTGGAGGCTTTTCTCTTCCTTAGGCCTCATGCAGATTTAGCTAAAATTAAATTTATTTAGAGGGAGATTAGTGAAAATAATCATTAATCACTTATTTCAAATGAAAATAAAAATGTATTCCAAGTTCAAAGTCATAGATTGAGGAACTAACGTCATCAGGTGCTGGACTGGGGTCAGGGAAGGGCAGGGACTTTGTGTGGCTGTGTATGAAGGAACAAGTTTAACATGAAGAAGGAACCATGAACCAGAGATAAAGACAGCCTGTGCAGAAAGTCAGAGGATCCTTTTCCTGTTTCTTAGCTGACAAAGACTTTCTTCAGCTAGCCATAAGGCAACTGTCAAATATCATCACATTTATCTTGAAGGATAAAATTTGTGCAAGCTCAATTGAACAGCAACAACTAGATGCAAGGAAGAAGTCAGCCAGGATGACTGCAGGGTTGGGTCATTTCTCAGCTTGTCAGAGACTGAGCCAGAGATAGTCTTTAGTCCAGATCATTACTTAAAGCACACTGGTCCCTCAAGGCTGAGGAGTCTGGGACGATTTGCAGGGGTTTCTGTAGTTTAAGATGAGGTTTCTGAAGGCAAGATGTCCCCACCTTAGAGGCGACCCTTTCTGTGCAGAGTGTCGGTATCCATGTAGCACTGTGTATTCACTGCTGGCACAGAGGTACTGAGAGGTGTGTGAGGGGCTGGCAGACTCCAGGGTCAGGGGAAAATGCTCTATCCTTATTCTGGAGACTGTTGACTCAGAGGAAAAATCTCCCCTCTCTGTGGAATTAACTCCATAGGAATAGTGGATGAGGTGTAATTCCATTCCTGGATCTTGTTGATACCAGTACATTTTGTCATGGCCCATGGTTTGAGAACATTCCAGAGTGATCTTCTTTCCTGTCTCTATGACACGGTGTCTTGGGTTCTGGTAGATATCAGCTTCCATAAGGCCTATGGGAAGAGACAGAAATTGGCAACAGAGTTCACAATGAACTTTGAGGCTGAGCCAGGCACAAACCCAACACAGAGGAAGTGTTCCTTCTAGATTTTGGAAGGAACTGTGTCTATGACTTACCTGCCCCCAGAAAATAAAAGGCCATGTGGCAGAGGAGCCTGATAGTCATGGCACACAGTTGGGGCTGGAGAGGATGTCTCTCAGGAGTGGGGAAGCAGGATGGGCTCTTGATAAAGTCATTGTGTGTGTGTGATGACACAGCCCTTGCAAGCTTCCTGGGTCCCACAGCCATCCTATTGAAACAGTTTCATCTATCTATATCCTTTTAACCCATCAAATGACTAATATTTTTTTCACTTCCCTCATCCAAAGTATGCTTGATGCTTTGCTAATCTTAACTCAAGTCTTTAATATTCTTACAAAACATTCTATTGCAACTGTTTTATAAGCTATGAACATTAAAACTACATAGCTTTGAATGCCTATAATAGCGGGATTTTACCTGATTAAAAAGGTTGGGAAAGGAAGTGGCATTTGAGTTAAGTTCTGAAGGATGAACAGGAATGAACTCTGCAAACCCGAGAGAGAAGAACATGCAGAAGAGGGAACCAGTGAACATCGGGACTTGATCAGACAAAGAATAGGAGAACTTGTGAACATTAATTGGGGCAATCTGTTTATACAGACACATGTAAAGAGCTTGGAGCAGTAACTGGAATTCATTGAGTCCTCAGAAAATATGGTGTTATTGTTGTGTGATAATAACTTTCTCAGTCTCATTTTTCACTGACTTGGTATTCGGGCTTTATCAACTTAATCAGCTGAGCCGTTGCCTAGGATGATTTTAGTCCATCTGCCTTTTAATTGCACTATCAATCATGACAGAACCGAAAATACAATCCAATACATGCTTTGGTAATATTGCTAAAAATTGTTTGGGTGCTGCTGCAATAAACAATGTCTAAACCAAGTGTCATTCTCCCTCCGCCCTTTCCCCCATTTCTTCTTAACAGAAAAGTCTTTGGTTTTGATTGTGAGATACAAAAATTAATCCCAGAATTTCTCCCAGCTTTGTCCACTTCCTTTGCCCTAGTTCACTAAGATCTACTGTTGGTATTTACTAAAATTTTTGTTCACATGATGCTGATATGGGGTTTGGGTTTTTATGATTATATCTCTAGTGTTTGAACACCATGTCTTCAAGTCTGTATGTATTTACCTGTAACACTTGTGGGCCCCTGCTTACTCTTCCTCTGTCATGTGTCATGAAGGAATATAACAGTTTTGATTTACCAAACCCTGAAATACTCTATCCTATCAGGGGCTCCTTTAAGATAAAAGTAATCATTAAAATCATTAATGGGATTTGGCCTTAGTCTTAATAGTCTTAATAGTAAGTGCTGAGAACAGAAAAAATAAATTGAATTTTACTGCCCCCTGCTGAAAAAAAGGTGTTAGAGGTTTGGGGAGATTCTGACAAATTTTAAAGAAACAGGAAAGAGGGAGGCTCCCAGTTGTTCTCAGTGTGAGATGACTTAAGGATGAGTGATGAGTTGATGAAAGTCTTCAGCAGTGACTGGATGTAAAACCTATACCTCACAGTAGAAGTAACTAAGAAAGGAAAGAAGAGAAGTACTCGACCTGGGTTTGGAAGTAGATATGAGAGGGTCTCAGGTCCCAGTCAGACGAAGGGGTATTCAAAGGCAGAAGTAACTATCCACTCCTTGCTGCCCAGTGCAGGAATAACTCATGCATAGCTTGCCTTTTATTGATGAAAATACTTTCCCCAAAGACTGCCATTCTGGTTTAGATAGGGAAGCCTCTGGAGAACGTGCTGGGAATTGCTAAGTGTGAATAATTACCAAGACAAACATTATTATATATAATTCTTGTATATATCTCTACACATTTTTGTTCTAGTAAAACACCCTTTCTCAATGGAGGCTTCTTGATTCTCAGGACTTTGTAGTCCTTCCAGTGTCCATGAAGTTTGCATAGGGAAGAGATACCAAGAAAGACAAGAGACAAAATGCAGTCTTAATATTCATCTAGGAGGGAAAGATCTGGAACCAGAATGTGGCAATGCTAAATTAGGACTTCATATTATGGCAAAGGACTCACCTGTCTTCAGACGAGGCAGGAGGGAGAAAGGCTAAGGGTTCTGGTTTCCCAAATAGTGATAAATATCTCCTAGCTCAGGGCTCTGGGACCACATGGGAGTAGGATTACCTCTGAGGTTTCACTTCCCATGCCAAGAATAGCCTGTACCATAACAGTTCCTGTTTTCACAGAATAGAGTTGATTCCAGAGAATTGCAAACACTGACTTTAGGGCATGTATGTTGAGCTTTTATGCAGTGTCTTATGTCTGAATCCCACAGCAAGCATTTTTTATGAGCTTCAGCACACCCAGTGTTCCCTTGGTATTCATGGGGGATTAGTTTAAATCCACTGATGCTCAAATCTCTTATATAAAATGGCATAGTATTTGCATACAACCAAGGCACATCCTCCTGTATACTTTAAATCAACTCTAGATTAATTTTAATAGCTAATACAATGTAAATGCCACGTAAATAGTTGGTATACCTCATTGTTTTAAATTTTGTATTTTTATTGTTGTGTTATTTTGTAATTTTTAAAATATATTTTTCATCTGAGGTTCACTAAATCTGCAAATGAGGGCTCCATTGATATAGAGTGTCAACTGTGTACTCTATCAGCATTTGGAAGTTCCAAAGGCCCTCAAATACAGCATGCATAATTAATTCCCCTCCTTCCTTCTGACTCTGCTTCTTTGCCTGTAATAATAAAACTAGGACTCCAGGCATAAACTTAATTTGTTAAATATTCTAATTAGAATATATTATAGACTCACTTCAATATATGAGTATATAAATTTGTGTTAACAATTAAAACAGAATATTTCATATATTTTCTTCTTTGCATGTCTTCTTTCTCAAAACTTCAAAACTCAGATTCCATTAAGAAAAACAGCTTTGATTTCCCCGAACATTCTCCCATGTATGTTTGAGATTATGTCACTTCACCTTAGTTCTCAATCATGTATTACCATCAGATATTAATATCAGACAATAATTGTTACATAAGTCTGTATACATTTTTTTGTACAGTAAAACCCCCTCTCTCATTTCCAGCCTTCTCTTAACCAAACATATTTTCTTTGTTTTAAAGAGACTTGTCGATGGGAGGTGTGGAGGACTTAAATACACATGTACCAGACCTGGATTGCGACAGTCTGAACTCAGATCACGTAGGACTTTAATCATTGAACAGACGAACCCTTGATAGCAGTTACCTCATTAGGATGTCCTGATCTAACATCGAGGTCATAAACCCTATTGTTGATATGGACTCTAGAATAGGACTGCGCCATTATCCCTAGGGTAATTTGTTCCGTTGATGAAATTGTTGGGTCAATATATGTATGGTAATTCACTTAAACTGGTTTAGTATCTTAGCATAGGTTGCTCGAAGGTTAAATTATGCTCCAAGGTCACCCCAAACAAAATTTTTAATGCAGGGACAGTAGTTTAAGGCCTGTGGGCTTATTTAAACTTTGTTTGCATTAATAAATTAAAGCTCCATAGGGTCTTCTCGTCTTATTTATTCATGTATGCCTCTTCATGGGCAGGTCAGTTTTACTGGTTGGAAGTAAGAGACAGCTGAACCCTCATGGGGCCATTCATACAAGTCCCTATTTAAGGAACAAGTGATTATGCTACCTTTGCATAGTCAGGGTACCGCAGCCGTTGAACATATGTCACTGGACAGGGGGTGCCTCTAATACTAATAATGCTAGAGGTGATGTTTTTGGTAAACAGGCAGGGTAAAATTTGCTGAGTTCCTTTTCCTTTTTTTAACCTTTCCTTGGAGCATGCTTGTGTTGGATTAACAGTATAGGTAATAACAAATTTGTTGGGTTGTTAATATTAGGCTGTTAATTGTCAGTGGGTTATTCTGGTCTGATGTAGGCTTATGCAGTGGAGAATATTTCATGTTACTTATATTAATATTATTGCTTCTGTAAAATAATAGATTAGTCCAATGTGGTGTTAGGAGTTCAGTGGTGTGATTAGAATTTAGAGTGGTTGGATGTTAAGCTTGAACACTTTCTTAATTGATGACTGCTTTTGGGCCGACTATGGGATAATGTTTTTTACTCTCTACATGAAGGTTGTTTCCAAATGTCTAAAGAGCTGTCCCTCTTTAGACTAACAGTTAAATTTACAGGGGGATTGAGTGGCTCTGTAGGTAAATTTAAAGTTGAACTAAGATTCTGTCTTGGACAACCGGCTATCACCAGGCTCAGCAGGCTTATCACCACTACTCATGAATCTCCCCACTATTTTACTACATAGATGGGTGTGCTCTTTTAGCTGTTCTTGGGTAGCTCATCTGGTTTTGGGGGCCTTGATTTTGGTTCTCTATGTAAAGTTATTTTTAGTTAATTCATTATACAGAAGCCATAAGGGCCTATCTTTGCTATTTTATGCTTGGTTAACTTTTTCATCTTTACCTTACGGTACTATGTGTATTGCATCAGGGTAAAATTTCTATCACCTACACTTTTGTTTGGGTAAATGGTTTGAGTAAGGTTATTTGATAGTACTAGTATTAGTCAAGTTTAGGGCTAAAGTTGGCTCAAGGTGGTCAAATTATGGTGAAATTTTCCGGGTATAAGCCAGATGCTTTGTGTTAAGGTACACCTTGGTTCATCCAAGTACACTTTCCAGTATACTTACCATGTTATGACTTGTTTCCTCTATATAAATATGTAGGGGTTTTAGTTAAACTAATCTCTAAAGTAATATTTGAGGAGGGTGACGGGCAGTGTGTGCGTACTTTATGACCTCATTCAATTAAGCACTCTGCTCTTAATATACTGCTAAATCCTACTTGAGCCCTTAGATTCCATAAGGGTTGTTGTGAGATTTTCTGGGTGTAGAAAATGTAGCCCATTTCTTACCGCCTCATGGGCTACACCTTGACCTAATGTTTTTACATAGATACTTGTGCTTACTTTGCGGCCTTTACTAGGGTTTGCTGAAGAGGATGGTATATAGGCTGAGCAAAAGGTGGTGAGGTAAATCAGGGTTTATCCATTATAGAATAGGCTCCTCTAGAGGGATATAAAGCACCGCCAAGTCCTTTGAGTTTTAAGCTATTGCTTGTAGTGTTCTGGTGAATAGTTTTGTTGATTTAACTACTGGAGTTTAGGGCTAAGCATAGTGGGGTATCTAATCCCAGTTTGGGTCTTACCTATTGTGTCTTCAGAAGTATTAAAGCGTCCTATTTCAGCTAGGGTTTTTTACAGCTTAGATGAAGCTTAGCTTTATTAAGGATAGATCGAAAACACTCTTTATGCTGAGTTCTATTAGTTCGGCCGCAGTGGCTGGCATGAAATTAACCAACCCTGGATGTTAGTATAGTTTAAACTTTTGTTTATTGCTAAAGGTCTATCACTGCTGTTTCCCATGGGGGTGTGACTGAGCAAAGTGTGTTGAGCTGCATTTGTGCATGCCTGATACTTATTCCTTTTGATCAAGGTGATTTAGAGGGTACTTTCACTGGGATGGGGATGTTTGCATGTGTAATCTTACTAAGAGTTAATAGAAAGGCCAGGACCAAACCTGTCTGTTTATGGGGTCATATAAGCCCATCTAGACATTTTCAGTGTCTTGCTTTAAATAATTAAGCTACATTAACTGTATATGTGTTAAGAGTAAAATTGGAGTATAGAAGAACATACAGGCAATATTCACAGTTGTAGGATTCAGGGATTTAAAGTTGAGTTAGCAGGAGTTGGTGGAGTAGATGTTAGTAATGGCGAGTGGTTGGTGTAGTACAAGGTAACAGATGATGCCTTTTGGGGTGTATAAATTTAGGGTATGGGCTTAGTAATGGATGGGCGTGCATATTAGATATAATTGTTGTAAAAGTAGAATTCGATTGGTGGGGGGTTAGTTTCCTAAAAAAATTTGCATTAGTTGAGGGGTAGCTGTTGGGGATACCCAAAGCTAAAATATAAATATTTTGGGCTCTGGCAGAGTTGAATTAAGGCTTTCTTGTTTTGGGGGTTGAGCAAGGTGTCTCTTTTCCTAGGTTGATGAAGTCAGAGATGGGGGAGGGGGAGTTGCAGATTTTTATTTTAAAAGTCCAATAAGGGGAACAGCTGTGTGTGTTTGTCTGTTAATTACTGTTATGTCCTTCAAGCATGAATTAATTAGCACCTTAGGGTGGTTATGCCCGGTTGGAATATTGAATTTAGGTGCGATTAATATAGGTGATTGGTAGGGATCAAACACAGGTCCGGCTGCAGGTGATGGGGAGGGGACCAGGCCTTCCACGACGCTGAGTGATAGCATACCTGAAAGTTAAAATACCAAATGCATGGCAGTGCTCCTGTGACTGGTTAATAGGGTGATAGTCACTGGTCCATCGAGATGTCTACTCTTAACTAAAGAATATATAACCTTGTGAAGAGCCAGTATGAAAAGAAAACCAGTACAAGACAAAGATACCCTCTTTTGCCACTCCTATTCAACATAGTACTGGGAGTCCTGGTCAGGGCAATCAGGCAGAAGGAAGAAATAGACATCCAAATAGGAAGAGAGAAAGTCAAACTATCCCTATTTGCAGATGACATGATTCTATATCTAGAAAACCCCATAGTCTCTGCCCAAAAGCTGGTTGATCTGATAAACAACTTCAGCAGTTTTAAAATACAAAATCAACATTAAAAAAGTGGCATTCCAATACACAGAAAACATACAAGCTAAGAGCCAAATCAGGAAAGTAATTCCATTCGTAATTGCCACACACAACAAATATCTAAGAATACAGCTAACCAGAGAAGTGAAAGATCTCTACAACAGGAATTACAAAACACTGCTCAAAGAAATCAGAGATGACACAAACAAATCAAAAAACATTCTATGCACATGGATAGGAAGAATCAATATCATTAAAATGATCATATTGGCCAAAGCAATATAGATTCGATGGTATTCCGTTGGTGCAAAAGTAATTGCGGTTTTGGTGAATTTTAAATCATAACTAGGCTCAAGCACATCTTTATTTATCAAAATAGGAACCATTACAATCAACCATTTTTTGCCAATGAGAAATAAGTTTGTTTATTCCTGTGGCATAAAAATCTATGCTTTGGAATTCAACGAACTCTTGGAAAGCATTTTCTGCATCTTGCTGGCTATGGAAGCATTTTCCTTGCAAAAAGACTTTTACATCGAGTTCTGGCAGTCCTTGATCAATTATTTTTGTGCCTGGGCCTCCCTGGCTCCTAAAAGAATCCCCACTGCAGGGGAACCAGGGGACTATTCCAGTGCCTGGAAAGAAAAGGGGCATCTCCAAGCTCCTAGCTTTGACCTCATACTAGGGACAGGGAATTTTATTTTTTGAAATTCAGTGCATCCAGATAATAATGGCAGTCTCTCTGCACCTGCAGGTTAAAAATGAATCTCAGCAGAGATCAAAGCGTGGGGTAGTAGATAAAAAATTACTTTTGTAAATCATAGTCTCTGATACTTTAACTTCTGAGTCAGATTTAATGATAATTAAATTTACTTACAGTGAAGTTGTAGAAAACAGGCTCGTTATTTTGTTTTTAGTAGAAAGGCAACCAAATATGGAGCTCAATGGTGGAGTTGAGCTTGGAAGAACTGGGGCAGAGAAAGGTTAGACAGGATAAAGGAGCTGTCAGTGGGAACAGAACAAAGTGTGGGATGTTGCAAAGTGGGTGGAGATAATGGCAAAGGGACTATAAAATCCACATTGTATTGAGCTTATAAGAAATGCTCTTGTTGAAAATCATGAGCTTCTGTCAAGTGCTCAAGTTCATTCTCCTGAAAGGTCACCATTGGGCTAGCTCCCTAGGAAAAATTAAATAGGGGAGATTGATTTAGTGTAGCCTGTGGTTTCAAAGTCATCACATGGCTTAGGGACATTGATCGAAAGTGGCCCTTAGCTTACACTGAGGTTCACACTGCCTGAGACCACTGAAAGCTCTAAACATCCCACATCCCACAACCCACACACAGGTACCCTTCAGAGCAAACAACTCACCCATGTGTCTGTCTTTCTGTGTAGACAGCAGGTGGCCAAGAAGCACTGTGCAAATCACTGGTGGCACAGAAGTAAAGAGCTGTCTGGTTGGGGGTGGCAGACTCTAGGGACAGGGAGAATTTAGCCTGTTCCTGTCGAGAGACACTGTATCCATCGGAGATCTCTCCTTTGTTTTTATCTTGGACATCAAAGGAGTAATAGATCAACCGTAGCCCCAGTCCTGGGTCTTGTCGATACCAGTACATTTGATCATGACCCTTAGTCTGAGAACATTCCAGCATAATCCTCTTTCCTGTCTTTGCGATCTTATTCCTTGGGGTCTGGGTAACATTAGCATCCATGGACCCTGTGGGGAAATAAGACAGAAACTGAAGACAGACTGGCAAATGTCCTCGTGCTGCAATCTCTAGGGATAGGCTTAATCCAGAACCTGGAAAATTTAAGGCAGTCATTTCCCCATCTATTTCCCAAAGTCACCTGTTCCCAGGAGACAAAAGGCCACACAGAAGAGGAGCAGGGAGGCCATGGCATGAAGAGGAAGGATGGAGGTGTTTCAAGCTCTGGATGTTGAAGGAAGCAGGGCATGGAAATAGAAAACTGGGAGGATTCAGGAAGTGATGTCATTGTCCCTCCCAAGATACTGGGTCTTAAAGAAAGATGCCATGTTGGCTTATGTATTATATGTTCTTAGCAGATGCTGAAATTCTTCTACTTGCTTCTCTTTGTTTTCTGGTGCTTTACTGACAACCACCAGAGAGTTATGTCTCTCTCCTTTCTCAGGGCATATCTATTTCAGTTGTTCAAGGAGACATCATCCTCCTGATAAAACAGGCTGGAGAAAATTCAAAACCAAATTGAATTTTGAATAAAGGGAGTCTAGTCTCACTTGAATGATAGGACAATATAACTCTTCTCCTTTTTTTCTTCATTTAATCATTTATTCTACCTCAGTTCTTGGTAAACTATACAATTTGAATACCTTCTTTGTAAAGTTTGAGACTTTTTTGTTTTAAGAAGGACAGGATTCCTAACTTTGTTTCAAATTGCTCCTATTTTTTAGTAGCTCCTGCTTTTCTGGTCAATGTTTTCTGGGCACAGAACTTTATTAAAAATATTGGTTTATTGTGAAAAGGTGTTAGTTAAATGTGGGTATGTGCTTCAAAGAAGTACTTAACACTTTCATTCCTGTTTTGAATTAGCTGGATATGCAGTGGTTCATTAAAGAATTCATTTTATTCTAACACAAATTATTCCTGACTTTAGTAGGAAAGAGTTTAATATTTAATACAGCAGATTGCAAGTGCAGAATAGTTATAGTGATAGTGTGAAACAGTGACCGATGTAACAAACAACTGGCTCTTTGCTGCTTCAGATCTGTGCTTGTCCTGGTGAAAAAGGAGAGTTCCCTGACCCCCCTGGAAGGACGTGCGGCAGGAGTGTTGCTCACCTCTTCGGTTGCTGCAGCTGCTCAAACCCCTGAGGGGAAAGAGAGCATACAAATGGACAGATGTAGGAGCCCAAGTGGGCAGATAGTTCTGCCATCTGCGCATGGCTTGGGTGTTAACCAGCTCGGTGGACCCTCTGCTTTTCTGCAAGGGCAGAGGGCCAGTGTGACAGCTCTCTTTCCCGAGCTCTTGCCCAGCATCCTGGAAGAATTGGGTCACACATGGGCTTGAAGGATGAATGTGGGGTTTTACTGAGTGGTGCTGGTGGCTCTCAGTAGGATGTATGGGGAGCTGGAAGCGGGGATGGAGTGAGAAGATGATCTTCCCCTTGGAGTTTGACCATCTAGGGACTGAACTCTTCTCTGGCAGCCCCCAGTTGAACTCCTCTCGGGGTTCAGATGTTCCTCCTCTTTTTCTCTGCCATGTCGTTCTGCCCCCCCTCTGCTTGTCTCCTAACCTGCTTGTCTGCCTCTGAAGCCTGGGGGTTGGAGTTTATATGGGTACAAGAAAGGGGACATGGTGGATCAAAAGACAACTTTTTGGGGATTAAAACAGGAATGCCTGTCCCCATTTACAGCTGCAGGTCACCAGGCTTGAGGGTGGGGCCTTTGCTGAGAAACCACCCTCTTCTACCCAGTATTTTTGTCTCCTGCCCATATCGCTGGCTCTCCCTCGTGCATGGGTACACCATGGCATCCTACCCTACTCATTCCTGCTGCATGTCATATTGGTGAAGTCTTATTTTTAGATATTTTTACTTCTAATTCTAAAAATTTCAAACATATACAAAGTAAGCTTAATAAAATGATGAGCCTTCGTGTCCTCACATGAGTCGTCTTCAGTAATTACCAACTACTCATGGGTTCTCTTGTTCATCTACCACCTCCTTCACCACTTCTGCGTCTCCTGTGTAATTTTGAATAGTTGTTGCTTTATTTAGGAGTACCCAAGCACATTTTACAGCCATTGCCTACACTCCAGATAACATATTCCAGTGTCCCCTCCCTTCTTCTCTTTCTGGTTAAAGTTCTCCATTAGCAATATGAATAAAAATGTGGATTTGTTCCAGTAAACTGCTTAGCCAGGGGTCTGATGAATATAAATAAGACAATGATCATAAGAACTTTTATTTGGGGTTTGTCTTCAATGTAAAAAAAAAAAAAATTGCCCTTATTTGCAATTCTTAAAGTAAAGATGCTGTTTTGGTGCCCTCTGCTGTGGGCAGTAATTTGAGTGGAATTAATAATTGGGAGCTGAATATTAACTATTCTTGGTGATCACGTTAGTCGAGAGAAAAGAGGACTGATACCCAGTGGTTGAGAGACCGTTTTCCTGGGCATTTCTGACAGAAGTTTGTAGGTGCAGAGCAAGGAAAGAAGCAGCAGAAATCATTCTGGGAGCAGAATCTATGCCCGAGGAGGAGTGAGTGAGCATCATCAGAGGAATGAATGGAGGAGACACACATTCGCACGGAAATGAAATTGAAAAAGGCATCCCAATTTCTGGAAAAACGAGAGGGTTCTTCATGGCACAGGCCAATATATTCTCTACTCTGGGCTGGCTCATGCACCTCTCAAATCGCGTTTATAATCCACATTTGCTCTGACCTATACTCTACCACAGGCAGGACACAGACTTCTTGGTCTTTCCCACAGACCATGTCCATCTGTGTGCTGTGTGTATGCACATGATTCTAAGGACTGTTGAACCCCTCATTCCATGTCCATCTGTGTGCTGTGTGTATGCACGTGATTCTAAGGACTGTTGAACCCCTCATTCCATGTGTGAGTTATTGATCTGTATAACACACATCCTCTGGCTTTATAAAAGGCTGCCAAAGGATAAGTAATTTTATTTCTTTACTACTGCGTAGAGTTTTTGGTGTCCTAAGAGAATTTTGCCTGCTCTCAACTCACAAAGATGTCTTTCTATGTTTTCTTGTAGAATATTTGTGGTTTCAGCTTTTATAATTATGTCTATGAAACATCTCAATTTAATTTTCATTTATGGTGGTAGGTGACAGTAAAGGTTTATTTTTTCCATATGATTATCCAGTTTTTTCCAACATACTTGTTGAAAATTACCATCTTAATGCATTGAAATTTCCAATCCATAAACATGATCTCTCTCTCCATTTAAAAATATTTTCTTTAGTTTCCCTTTGTGGAGTTTTGTAGTTTTTAGTTGAACATCTATGCTAAATTGTTCTTAAGTAATTTGTTATTGGTACTATTGTAAACGGTATTATTTTCTAAAGTTTGTGTTTCAATTGTTTTCAACTAGTAAAAAAAAAAAAACTTGATTTTTAAAACACTGATGTGTGCTGTGATATTGGTAAATTCACTAATTATTTATAGTTGTTGTTCCTTGATTTCTTATGATTTTCTACGTAAACAGTCATGTAATCTGCAAATAATTGGACTTCTTCCTTTTCAATGTTTAAAACTTTTGTTTTTGTTGCTTTATCATGCTGATTAAGATCTCCAATATAATATTGAATAAAAATAGTGAGCAGCTTAGCACAAGCATTTATTAAGCCCAAGAATTCAAATCCCACCTGGGGAATATAGTGAGACCTCATCTATAATTAAAATAAAGTAAAAAGTAATGAGAAAACTTCATGGCTTGTGTCTGTGGGGAAAAGAGAGATCAGACTGTTACTGTGTCTATACAGAAAAAAGTAGACATAAGAGACTCCATTTTGTTCTGTATTTGAGATGCTGTTAATCTGTGACCCTACCCCCAACCTTGTCCTTGCAAGAGACATGTACTGTGGTGACTCAAGGTTTAATAGATTTGGGGCTCTGCAGGGTGTGCTTTGTTAAACAAGTGCCTGAAGGCAGTATGCTTGTGAAAAGTCATCACCATTCTCTTAATCTCAAGTACCCAGGGACACATACACTGTGGAAGGTCACAGGGACCTCTGCCTAGGAAAGCTAGGTATTGTCCAAGGTTTCTCCCCATGTGATAGTCTGAAATATGGCCTCGTGGGAAGGGAAAGACCTGATTGTCCCCCACCCTGACACCTGTGCTGAGGAGGACTAGTATAAAAGGAAAGAAGGCCTCTTGGCAGTTGAGATAGAGAAAAGTATCTGTCTCCTGCCCGTCCCTGGGCAATGGAACTTCTGATTTTATGTTCTATTTACTGAGCTAGGAGAAAACCGCCTTAGGGCTGAAGATGGGACATGCTAGCAGCAGTGCTGCTCTTTATGCACTAAAAACGTTTATGGAGATGTTTGCATATGCATATCAAGGCACAGCACTTCTCCTTAAACTTATTCATGTCACAGAGATCTTTATTCATATGTCTTACTGCTGACCTTCTCCCTACAATGATCCTATTATCCTGCTACTTCCCTTTTCCAAGATGGTAAAGATAATGATCAATAAATACTGAGGGAACTCAGAGACCGGTGCCGGCGCGGGTCCTCTGTATGCTGAGCGCCGGTCCCCTGGGCCCACTTTTTCTTTCTCTATACTTTGTCTCTGTGTCTCATTTCTTTTCTCAAGTCTCTCCTTCCACCTAACGAGAAACGCCCACAGGTGTGGAGGGGCAGGTCACCTCTTCAGTGTCTTATTATGTTATAGGAGGAAAGTGCTCAACACACTATTAAATCAGATGTTATTTGTAAATTTTTCATTTATAACTTTAATCAGATTAAGATAACTGTCTTACTAGTTTACTGATAGTGTGTCTTTTGGATAAGTATTGATTTTGTCAAAGGTTTCTCCGAATCTATTGAGAGGGTCAAGTGATTATTCTTTATTATTCTGATATAGTAAAATATATTGATTTTGGAAGCTAAACCACTGTTTTTCCTGCAATAAACTCACTTGGTCATGTTGTAGAATTGTTCACATATACACATATATATATGCACACAAATATGTATGTATATTCATATTTGGATTTATGTATTATTTATTTTTGATCCAAAAGTATATTTTCTATTTTTTGAAGAAAGTTAATTTTTGGAAGCTTTTGCTCATCAAAATTTGAGTGAATTATCTAGTTACCTCCCCCCCACAATAGATGTACTTTATAGCAACTCTATTTTTTTTTATTTCTGGGGTACATGTGCAGGATGTGCAGGTTTGTTACATAGGGAAACGTGTGCCATGGTAGTTTGCTACACCTGTCAACCCATCACCT